GGGACAGGCCGTGTTTGGGTGCCCCCAGGGTGGGACAGCACCCCCAGGACCCTCCCCAGGACCCTCCAGCCCCCCGTACCTGCCCGGGGCCGTGGCTCTTCCTCCGGCGTTTCTTGTACAGCTCCTTGCGTTCGGCCACCAGCCCCAGCCCCAGCAGCTTCTCCACCACCCGAGCCCGCGAGCGCCGCGCCGTCAGGTGCTTCATGATGTTCCCCAGGACATCTGTGGGGAGGGGGGGTCAGGGTGGGGGGCTACAGGCGGCTTTTAGGGTTCTGCCCCCCGTGTCCAGCTCACCGTCCGAGCCCTGGAACTCCTCGAAGAGCCGCGTCAGCTCCTCCTCCTGCTCCTGCGTCCACAGCACGATGTGGGTGCCCTTCCTGGGGGGTGGGAAACAGCCGTGGGTCCCTGTCCTGTCCCCGGGGGTCCCTGCTCTGTCCCCGGGGGTCCCAGCCCCACCTCTCCCGTGGGAAGTCCTTGGCACTGCTGGCCAGCCCCATCCGCACCAGCTGCTTCACCACCTGCCTCCGCGTCCGCCCGGCCGTCGGCAGATGGGCCAGGATGGCAGCGATGATGTCCCCACCTGTGGGACAGGGAGGCTGCAGGGACAGAGCCCCTGCCACCCCCCGGGGGTCCCACTGAGACCCCAGAGACCCCCCCAGTACCTTCCACCTCCTTGTACTTCCAGTACAGCTCCCGCAGCTCCTGCTCCTCCTGGGGCGTCCAGGGGGGAACCCGGCTCCGGGTAGGGCTGGGGAGGGGCAAAAGGGAGGTGAGGGGAGGGGAGAGGGGGTGGCAGCCCCCTCCCCAGGCCCACTCACCCTTCTCCCTCCTGCAGGGAGCTGTAGCCCTTGGTCATCTCACAGACGACAGTCGGGCTCTTCCAGAAGAGCAGCTCCACAAAAGCCTTTTTGTTGGTGGCTGCCAGCGCAAAGAACTTGCCCAGGATGAACTTGGCCAAGGCCACCAACTCCTGGGGACAGCAGGAGGTAGAGAGGGGTTGGGGGACACCAGGGACAGAGAGAGGGGTTGGGGGACACCAGGGACAGAGAGTGGGGGTGACAGAAATTCGGAATACAGAGCAGGGCTGGGGGACACCAGGGATGAACAGAGGGGCTGGGGGATGTGGGCACAGAGAGTAGGGGTGGGGGACATGAGACACTGAGCAGGGCTGGAGGATAGCAGGGATGGAGAGTGGGGC